AGAAAATCAAAGCGATTTTTGTTGCGGGGAGCAAATCCAGTCTTCTGATAAGCTCCACTTTAGTGCAACCAATTTATGTATTGCAGATATGGTTTGTCAGCTCTTGGACGCCAATTCTTCACCCAGGACGCCCAATGTTTTCTCATGAAAAAGATTTGATGATACGGTAAATCAGTGCTATAGGCCTATTAAAGGAATCTTCCACGGAAAAAGCTCCGCCCTTCATTACCACAGAAAACGATACCTTAAAGGAATCTTCCACGGAAAGAGTGATCATTTTGTCTTGTGTGTAGGATTAGTATTATCGAAACTAACGCTTATGTTCCGTTCTTTTTGCTATGCTCATGAGGCTAGGGGCCTAAGGTATCGTTTTTCTGTGGTAATGGAGGCGGAGCTTTCCGCGGAAGAATTCCTTTAAAAGCCAGCTTTATTACCGGGAGTCTCATCAAATTTAGACTGCGAATGACACGAGTCAAAATGGATTCGGCGGCAGAGAGACTTACTTCAGCCAGAAACTTGATCATTTTGACAACAAGACGACTACTACTTGGATGCAGGTGAGACCAGTCGCAGCAATACCGATAATTCGAAGGAACCTTGAAAGCAGTGAATATGGATGGCTGAAGGGGAGGGGCAGTTTCGACGACGTCATCGGTGGAGCGGGACTCCTCAGCCAGCTGGCGGGTGTGGTTGGGATAAACTTTCAGTGCTCTACAATTCACGCTCATGGGCGTCACCATAACCACTCCGCCCACCCGCCATCGTGATCACTGCCATTAAGCTCTTATCTTCGCGTCGAATTTCTTGCCGTTCAAGCTCACTATTTTTCAAGATCTTGAATTTCTAGCGCTACTTCTACAACCTACGATATCATCGACGTGGTAGTAACGTCGCTTTCCTCATGCTCGGAGGAGCAGGAGTTCAAGAAATTATGTGGGTGAGTGTTTGCCAAACGAGGGAGCAACATTCAGGAAAAAAGTGGTGAAAATGCGTAGGAGTTGTTGTGACAAGAAGCCCCCTGCACCGCTAACCACCTTCACCTTAAGTTTTTGATGGGACCGCCTTTTCATCGTGAACTCCGCCTTAGATAGGGAACCCTGTTGTTCAGCTCACATTTTTCAGGTACATCGGGAAGAATTTCCATTGCCGTGCGCGTGCTGGGCAAAGGAGAAAGGAGCGCTCATATTTGCCCTTGAACATCGTTTCTATGGAAAGAGTCGTCCAACCAAGTAAGTGAACAGTGTTTCATACTCACCACAAAAATAATAATAATTCTAAATAGTCTAAACGTGGGAGGGATGCGCATAGTTGGACCCCACAGCAAGTGTGAGGGCTAGCCATACCTGCGGTGCACCAGTAGATCGTACCTTATAGAAAACATAATTTCATTCAAACGCCACTACGAAATGTGCAAATGGAAGTAGAATGCGTGCCGCATCCCAAAAGGATTGACCAACGGCAAATGCTTTATCCTCTACCAGGTCTTTGCTACCCGCACGCTATCGCGCTGCATTAAAAGGGTGGGAGGAAACCGGAATAACAACCATGAAATACTCACATTACCACCTCACTATTCGAATGTTTACCAACCTCCTTTATAACCGCCTTCTTTCCGCGCGTTAGCAAACGCCATGTCCCGCCTCTCTTTGCCCTCACCCCCACTTTCCCTCCTCCCTAATCCCCCTCCCCTTCTGGTTCCCCCTCCCCTCTACTGCCTGCCGGCTCCGACTGCCACGGCAGCACCATAATGAGAATGAGACTGTAGGCTCGTTCGGTGTTTTTGTAACCAGATTAGTCCCCCGTCAACCGCCGGGACCTTCCTTTCCTGCGCAAGCTTTCTATCCTCCGCTATGGTCCCTTCCTCCTGTGACACCAACACCTCCTGGAAGTGACGCGTATGCAACACAATGGTGTTTCATACAGTAGAAGGGACACAATCATGATATGACGGTAGATTTTTCGCTTCCCTTCCTCATCCTCCCTTCCTCTCTCCACTGCCCTCCAGCTGCCACTGCAGCACCATGTGGAATGAACGGAAGTGTGCTAAGCAGGTGTTTATATAGCCCTAAGAGTGTTATCACAACTATCCTGCTACAAAACATTGATATCTCAAATCCTGTAAGCTACCCGATTTGTTAGCGGTTTGTTTATCCCATGAGCTTCCTTCTCACTCACTTCATTTTGCGGACGGACACACATACATACATACATACACACACACACATACAGATACACAAACCGACACACAAAGTTAGCGCTTTATAATAATAGAAGGATATCCTTCCTTTGTTTATTGTTGCTCATAAAACATTTTTCAGCCACATGTTCGTGAAGGATCTACGACTTCTCAATAGTCGTCAGGCAATCGAAGACATCGCTACGTTTGTAGAAAAAATGAACGAAAAGCATAAACTCAAACATCCACGGCCGGCGCGCTCAACTGACCACCGCAAACATCGGATCCGTCTTCGCGGATCGTAACTGCCTGTCGAATACTTCTAAATTTGTACATTAAAACGAAAAAAACAACCAACAGAAAAGAGAATCGAGACAACGACAGTTGAGAGGTAGAGAGACAACACGAAGGGGTCCGCGCAGGCAAGTGGCCTGCTTCTGTACGCATATCGGCTTGACTTTGGTGAACATATCTACTATTCACATTTTGGCAATTTCAGCAAGAAAAATAATTGAGCAATGTCGATTCTGACTACATTAGTCATCGAAATAAAATGATTAGCCCGTCAATCACCACTTTACGATAACGGTAGATTTTCGACTGTAAAGGTTTTTTCTTGTCATATCAACAGGCTCTCAAAGGTAAATCCAAAATGATAAATCAATCGCAGTAAATTTACGTGAAAGTCCTTTCGCCTGCTTTTTCAAGTAATGCTCTTTACTATCTCTGTCATTCGTGGTGCCGTAGAAACTGTGGTTCTAGATGCATCACACCTCGAGACCTCGTAGGTAGAGGTGCGGTAGGGGGTCCAAGCGACATTACCAAAGGAAGGATTCAAGGCTCGAGCCTTCTTAGATGAACCAGACGTTTCTTTATTATCACAAGTTGGTTGACTGAAGTATACGCGTTTACAATCGTATGGAACGGTGCTTCAAAATCAGTCACCGGGCTGCATCAAAAAATGCAAACGCCTAATCATCTATGTATGCTATAAAGAGCTTTTGCGATACTGGACATGAATCGAAGACACTGAGCAATCAACCTGACCCCTTTTTCAAGCTGACCAGTTTCAGACTTAACAAAGTTGGAAGACTCCGTAATTATTCTAGGTTTGCTCTTTGCCCTTTGGGCTCCGACAGAAATATCCGAAACTGATTGCTGGAGCGCCGTTGACGTTCACCAACTCATTACAGCCATAGGGGTAAGACTTTTGGGGTGAGCAAGTTGACATATTTGCGTCACATTCAACAGCGACATACTACGCCAGTCTTTTGAAGGGCTAGAGGCTTAGACGGTAAGGGTTCGCGTGTCGTGGCACTAACGGCGCGGAGACGGCTATACTAGATCACCGGGGAAATATCCCTCTTCGAAAACTTCGTATCGGACGGCACCCCTCAGGATACGTCTCTTTTCCCTAGCTAGGTTCCTCTTTTTCGTCCTACGGCCTTATGATGGATCCTTCTTTGAGTGTGTGGTATTTGATCGAATTTCCTTAGCGCATAACTTGCGCTCACTTTGAACACACGGGAAGTACCCCTTTCATCATTTTTAAAGGCAGCGATTACGATAAAGAGGAAGCGCATCGGGGAAGCATATGCACCACACGAAGCAGTTACTTGGCAAGGAAGCGAGATGTGGCGCTTTCACGACGAAAGGTGCGCTGGTTGCTGAGCAGGACTTCGAAAGCACTCCGCCCCCAAAAGCGATCCGCCCACTAGTTTAGTTGGTGATTTGGACGAGCTGCGTTGCCAGCAGCGGCACAACTGGAGCAACTCGATTGGAGCGTGGTTTGGCATGGTGCCACCAAACGCGTTGCGGTGAACTCGTTCCGATTTCTGAGCTGTTACCTGTTAAAAGGGGTCCCGTTTTGCGTTTTCTTGACGGATTTCTCAGCTTTTTTCGCCACTGCGTGCCATTGAGCACCATCACGTCTCCTTTGAACCCTTCTCGAATTTATCGTAATCGCTGCCTTTAAGGCAACCTTCTGAGAGTGGCACAATAATACAATAATATGGCTGGTGTGTGTCCGGTTTTCCTCAGCAATTCTTCGCTTATTCGGTAGTGTGAGATCAGTTCTCCTGTTATTTTTATCTTTCGGGTAACACCTGTCTATCTGAAAACGGAAGCAAGGCTTTACGACAATCCCTAGGCTAGAGTGTGCGCAACTTAGTTTGAAGTTATTGAAGGATTTGGATTCGCACAGCGTTGGGAAGTCTGCAATGAGATCTTTCTCCTCAGCACAATGTTACTTACATGGTCGACCCATCCTTGCTATCACGTCTTGACCAGTTCTGTTCGTTGTCGCCCCT